TCAGACACATCCGCAGCTGGAGCATTGGGGGACAGACTGCCCCTGCCCAAACCAGCCAGAGAGACAGGGGGGCCACAGGGAGTGTGGGCTGCTCAAGCCCACCCTGGCTCTTTTCCACATCCCCCCACTGAAGCAAGGGAAGGGGCCCAGAGGTGACACCCCCCCAGTCACCCCCTCGGTCCTGCCCCTTCCCCAGGGACAGAGGCCACAGCTTCCAGTTCACCAGTGCTGGGAAAAGCCGCCCAGGGAGGCAACAGGTGATAACCCAGCAGCAAGCATCCTCCACCAGAGGAAAGCACCTCTTCTTCCCTTCCAACCCCTCTCCCACCCCCCCAGGCTTGTTCTAAGGACACAAATACATAAAAGACCCCCTCCCCAGCTCCCCCTAAGCAGCCCCACGCATCGCAGCGGGGAGCCCCAGCTCCCCTCTCCCCGACTCCCCTGGGTCGGCAGTGCTGGGATGCCGAGGCGCTGGCTAGTGTTACAGGTGTAAAGGCAAGGGTGGGCGCACGGCGGGGCGCCCCGTGGTCCAAGTCACCCTGGGGAAAAGTGAGGGCGGCGGGTCTCCAGCACTCCCCCCATCCCACAGGGTGCCAGCCCGATGCCGGCCTCGGCATCCCCTCGAGATGAAAAAAAACCAAAAGTCACATAAAACCACAGCACCGAGGAGGCCCCGTCCTGTCCCTGGCCTCCGCAGTGCAGCCCAGGCCTGGGAACCCGCCCCCGGGCTTCTGCTTTCTGTCCTGGGTGAGGTCCAAAGGGGAGCGAAGGCCTGGTGGTCCGGAGCAGGAGACCCTGGGGTCCGCGTCACATGATTTCACAGCAGGAATTCTGCTTTCGGGCCTGGAAAGAGAAGGAAAAGCAGCAGTGACGCTTGCTGCAGGTCCCCAAGGGCCAAGGGGGGGCTGCAGAGCCCTCCTCCCACCGGAGGAAGCCAGCACCGTCCCAGCCCTCACGGCTCGCCACGAAGGCAAACACCCTGTGCCCCCATGCCGAAGGCTTGTGGCACAGATCTAACCCCCCCCAGCCATCGCCCTAGCTGGAGCCTGCGCCAGGAATCACCACAGCCGGGATTGGCATCACCCTCTACTGGCCACAGGGCAAGGAACAGCCTGAGCTAGGGGCCAAGGAGCTCCGCAGCCAGAGTTTGGGCAACCAAGTTCCCTCCAGGTCCAAAGCAGCTGTGCCAGCGGATAGTGGTCCTTGCCTGGAACCCACATCCTCTGCCCCGGGAGTTTGTTCTGCCCTTCCCCAACCCCAAGCCATTGCTGGCTCCTCAGGCAGGGGGTGACCCTCCCCTGGGATGAAAAACCACACTCACAGTTTTGTAGAAGGCTTTGGACTGTGCTCCGAGCACCTCCGATTTGGAGACCAAGTCGTCCAGCTTCTCTCCTCGTTCCAGCAGCGACTCCATGGTGTTGTGCTGCCAAAAAAAACCGGCGCTGACCCACAGTACTGGTACCCTGGGTCCTCCCCACTCCCTCCCCAGCCCCCAGCAGAAGATGGAGGTGCCACCGTGTCCCCATCCAGGAACGAGCCTCTGCCTTCCCACGGCCACCCCGGCTCCGCAGCAAGGGAGGGGGCAATGCCAGCCCCAATAAAGACAGGAAGGTCACAGTGACTGGGAGAAGAGCCCCTGGTGAAAACAGCAGTGCATGCAGGTCATTTAAAGCAGAAGACAAGTGAGAACATGACACTGCGCAGGGAAGGGACCGTGGTTTGGAGGAGGGAAGCGGAGGCTGGGGGGTGTCAGTGCCCCCAGGGTTGTGCTGGGCCAGCTTGGAGGAGCCCAGAGGGAAGGGAAGGGGAGAGGAAGCTCCCACAGCACCAGGAATGTCTCCAGGGAACAGAGAAGGCAGGATGGCCCCATCGCCCTGATGGCCACCCTACACCCCAACCCCCAAAAGGGGGTCCCCATGGCCCCGAGCAGACATGCCAGCTGGAGCATCCCAGTTGCGGGCCCTGCATCCTTCTCACCAGGATGATTTTGGTCTCATCCAGCTCAGCCTGCACTCTGGTCATCGGGTCGGCATCACGGGGGTTCTCGGAGAGAAACAAAACTGCCTCAGTACCACTGCCACAGGGACGTTGGCGTCCCCTGGGCCGCAGTCCCGCAGCACCGGTGTCCCGGCACACGCTGGGGCGTCACACACGCTTCCACCTCCAGACCTGGGGGCCGTGGGGAGCATTCCCGGTCTCTGCGTAGGATCTGCGGGGGTCCTGGGGAGGCCATACCTGGTATTTACTGAGGTATCCATCCAAGGCCGCGTAGCTGATTGTCGCTGGGGATCCCGAAGGCCAGTCTATTTTGCTGACCTGCCTGGAGAATTCATCCAGCACCTGCGACACAAGGAATCGGGCAGTTACTGCCTGGTGGTTCTGCTTGCGGGGCCATGGCTGGCAGAAAGAATTTTCTCCTTGAAAAAGGAGATTTTTCTTCTTGTCTCCTTTTGAACGAGCCAAGGGAAGAGACAGAAACCAACTTCTTCGGCAATGCCCACGCCAGGTAGGGGTGGCCGTCCCCAACCATCCCCAAAGCCCTGTGCCCTGCCAGGGCGGCCAGACATGTCATCGCCAGTTTTTGGCAATGCTGGGTGCATGGTTACACCCAGTTTTCCCACATAAAACCCAAGCCAGGCAGGGAGGACGAGGTGTTTGTGAGGCCTATGCCTGGGCTGGCAGCAGAGTGGAGCTGGGACTAAGTCCCAGCAGGCAAAGCCAAGTCACTGCATGGCTTGGAAGTCCTTGGGCTGGCCAGATCTTGCTCAGCTCAGCTCTGATGTCCCCCAGCTAACGAGCAGGAAGGTCATTTCCTTGTCAGAGCATGAGCAGGAGATGTGGAGGCGCTCCCCAGAGCAGCCCCACTGCAGCCTGTCACCTCCAGTACTGCTCCCAGGTCGCATGCTCACCTTGTCCAGCAAGGTGAAGCAAACCCGCTGCGGATACTCATTATCTGCGATCACCACTCCGGCCAGCCCGTCGTTCCGGACGTACACGTGGCAGAGGTACTCTGGGCAGAGAATTTATGTCAGAAAGGCAGCGGGAAGGTCCAGAGCCTGCCCCAGCACCCGCTACCTCCTGCCCGACCCCAGCAGCTCTTCCACAACCCACGAATTGCCCTGGAAAGTTTCATTCAGTGACTGCATTTCACATTATTTCATTAGGAGAGTGGGAAGGGCTCAAGGGAGGATCAAAATCAGCCCCACATTGTGCTTCAGTAGGTTACGGCAGCCTGGCCACATGACATGGGACACGACGCTAGCTTTCCAGGGCAGCAGGTACTGCCAGAGTTAAACAAAAACAGAGGGTGAAGTGCTCAGCCTGATTTTAATAAATAACAACTTGTCACAAGCATGGAGTGTCATTAAAGAGGCTGCAGTGGCCAATTCCGGGCCACACCCTGCATGTCTCGGGGTTCGGGAGGCACGTGGAGCAGGGTGGGGAGGCTGGAGATGAGGCCAGAGATCGGGGTACGGAGCCCAGACTCATATGGCAGAGCTCAAGGGAGAAGGGAAGGAGGCTGTGCCGGCACAGCCACCCCTCTGGGAACAGGATGAAGCCAGCCAGTTGAGGGGCTGCGGGAGCACAGCCTGACAGCTCCAAGTGTCTCAAGGGTGGCAAGGAGAGGAAGAGCCCAAAGGCAGCAGCTGGCTGTCAGGCAGGTCCCTGTTCTTCCTGTAACCTCTCTTGCGGGGCGGGCTGGGCTCTCGCCCAGCTCAGCAACCTCACGCCTTTAGTGCTACTTGCCTGGGCGCTGTTTTGAAGTCTTTTTTAATTGTAAACAGACAAGAAAGGAAGCACGTGCGCCTGCATGTGCTGACCCTGGGTTGTCCTCTTACCTTGCTCCTTGACGGAGGCTCTGCTGCCCAGCTCCGAGCGCTCCACGATCAGCTGGCTTGTGAAGGTCATGAATTCCTGCACGCTGCAAACACAAAGCGTTGGCGCTCGAGTCTGCGAGGGGACCCAGCTCTGCTGGAGCTGCATGTGGCCCAGTGAACTACGGGGGGTGCTGGCGCAGCAATGATGGGGGAGATCATCTGTCCCAGAGGCCCCCGGCATTTTGGGCAGACTGAAACCTTTCCCCACGACCACGTTTAGGTAGCAGGGACGTAGCTGAGCTGTGGGTTTTCCTCAGGGAAGAGGTCAGCCCCTGCACCTACGCAGAGCTGCAGCCACCACCCAAACACTTCCAGCTTCGCTGGGCCCAGGGGAGCACCCACACACCTCCGGCCGTGGCGAGGGACTTGCATGCTTGGGCTGAACTTGCTTTTTGGTGATTTAGCAGAAAGTAAAACACCAGGCTAAAGCCTGAGGAGCAGCTGTGCCCTGCTCGCAGCAAGGGGCTGCATGGGTGCTCCAGCCCCTTCCCCTGCCTGAGCTTTTATCCTGTGCTTGGGGCCTTCTGGCATCCCAGGGAGGCCGTTTGACCCACAAATGCACCTCAGCTCCCTACCACATTGAGTCAAAGTTAAGGAAGATCCTTAAGCCAGACTCGCTCTAAGTATGGAAAACATTCCTGAGCCCAGACTTGAGTCCTGCCAAACAGGCTTCTTGCGTAAACCCTCCTCCTCACCCCACAGTAAAGGAAAAGAGGCCAAAAATCACGAGCAAGTGCAAAATAAATCTATTCCCAATGTACGCCAGGGATTAATGAACGTGAGGCGACAAATTCCCCACTTCAGCTGGAAAGTCCCAGGAAGGAAAACCTGTCAAAGCTCAGATTACAGAGTTTGCTCAAACACCCCCCACACCAACAGCTCCCACTTGGGAGCTTCATGTGACGAGGAGACGTCAACGAACATGGACACCAGCGCGGCAAAGACCGCGGTTTCCTCACTGCCTTCCACTGCTGGAAGCAACTCCAGAACGGGGATTTGCTTCTCACAGTTTACTTATTTCTTAGGGGTTTTTTTGCATTTCCCCCAGCCTGGACACCACGCGATCCGACACCGGCTGCAGACAGACTCCGAACTGATGGGTATCCAGGTGCTGCAGAGAAAAGACTGGCCCAAAGATTTCTTAACATCCAAGTTTAGCAGAAACAGAGGACTGAAACGTTCCTCCTGGTCTGGGGATCTGCTGGGAGCCACAGCCCCCACTGTCGCAATTCCATTATTTCACAGTATTCACGGAGAAATCAGCCACCAAAGACTTCATTCCCTCATGCCATGTTCCTGACCCTGCCAAATGATACAGCAGAGGTTTGATGGCAGACACCCTGTGCTGGCATGGCCAAGCTGGCCCCATCCCCCTGCCCAGCAGGCTCTCACGGCTCCCAGGAACCACAACCATGTTTATCCCAGATTCAAACCCCTAACCCAAGTCTCTGGTAACTCCACAGCCTCAAAAAAAAGTACATGCAGCATTTTTAACCCAAACTTAACTTAATTGCACCTTAAATATCACACCTAGGCGGTGCTCACACAGGCACCAAGGTCCAAGCAGCCCCTCCAAGCATGACCAGGGAACCAGCTCAGGACAAGGATTAACTACCGGAGAAAAGTTGCGAGACTAACGAGCGCAGACGCCACCTCACCCTGCACAAACAGCATCGCTGTTCCCCAAAAAACAAGACTTTTTTTAAGCAAAGAAACAGCCTGCTGCCAGGGAAGTGGCTCTTTCGGCCATAGCCAACGGCAAAACCACACAGGGAAATTTCTCAGGATTTGGAAAAAGGAGAGCTGTGCCTACGAAGTGATTTGGGTTTTTAAGAGATTACTTCACCCGGTGCAATCCGTCCCGGTTGCGTGCGTTGGCAGCAGTGGCACAGCTTTTTTAATTTGGCTAAGAAAGTATTTTTTAAGACAATTTTACTTCAGTATTTTTCCTTTATCACTGGAATTGCAGAACCAAATGTACTCAAGGCTCCTTAAAATCTTGGCAAGGATGGGACATGGAAAATTCAAGTCCCGTAGGTGAGTATTTCCTAAAGCCTTTATCATCTGGAGCCGGGTGCTGGGAAACGAGCTGTTTCACAGCAGGCACCTGCTTTATTTTACAGCTTTTGGAGGTTTTTGGGAGCTCCCTTCAGCTGCAAGCTCAAGGGCAGCTGCTGAGAGCTCTGCGATCTCTCTGTGTGCACAGAGCGGGCAGTGGGACATCTGGGAGCCCAGACTGGTGTTCAAGGTTAAACTGACTCACCCAAAGCCATCAGAATAACCTGAGCAGAGGTTTGTGGGCTGGAAAAAGTTTAAGATTAGACCAAACACCTAATTAAAAAGATACCGGAGGTGTCACGCGAGCCTTGTTAGTCTGACACAAAGACAAACCTCCTCCCACTCGCCTCTCACACCCCAGAAGCCGCCATGACTACTGGGTTTTGGCACTTGCTGGAGGGAGAAGAGCTGACCTGAGCACTCGGGGTGTTTCCCTGCACTCAGATTTTATCGCTTGGTTATGGCGGGTGATTTACCGAGTCAAACCTGACCTCCTGCTGCTGGCTGTGAGCGGCTTTTAGGCAAAACGAGGTTTCACTGTTCCTGAGGCTGAAAAATCGCTTCAAGTGGGTTTTGCAGCGCTGAACGGCATGTGTAGGGTCACAGCTCCCCAAGGGAGTGTCTCTGGTGGGTTTATCCCTTAGGAGAAGCCTGTTACCTCTCCCACTGCACATCCGGTGACACAGGAGCAGAACAGGCAAGAAACTCCCTCAAAAGCTTCTACTTCCTCTCCCCAAGGTCCTGCCTAAGCCATGTGCCAGCCCCGCAGAGCACAGAAAAGATTTCCCCCGACCCCAAATCTCCCTGGGAGGTTCTGGCACCCCAGGCACCCACCTGGACCTCTGGAAGAAGTTGAAGGTGGACACGTCGTAAGCAGCTTTCAGTAAATGCACTTTGGGGTCACCTTTGTAAAGGACACTTAGGCTGTAGAGCCTCATCGTGGCGTCTCCCGCTGTCCTGGGTGGAGGGAGGAGACCTGGTGGGTGAGACGGGGGCCAGTCTGGGAGCCCAGGCAGCCACTGGGACGCCCCCCTGCGCGGCCAGGCCTCTCCCCTGGGCCTCCCTGGGACCCCTCCTCCTGCCCCTGGGGCTGGGGGTCCCCCCGCCTCACCCAAATCTCCTCCATCCTTTAAATGCCAGCCCCAGGCACCCTGTGCTCACCTGCTCCACACCCCAGAGCCTGCCCCGACCCCCCACCCCTCCCCTTCCCCCACAATACCAGGCCCCCCCCCCCCGCAAGGCCCCCCC